CGCAGCTAGTCAATGTCAATGCAACTAAGATCGTTTGATACGATGAATTGAATGGTTTGCATGAAAGGACAAAAATTCTGCCAAATGGGCAATGCGGAAAACTTTTAACAGAATATAATAACAACTTCATGGATTCAATTTATTAATTCGATGCGACGTTACGGCAACACACATTTTCGACATTGGCATTGACCGATCATGAGGGATACAACGTCCTAGACGAATTTATTTCTTCTGACCGTTTTAGACCTCAAAGATCCGTCGCATTTCATCGATCGAATTAAACTTTTCTGAGTTAAATACAATGATTGTGCAATATATTAGTCGCTATAAAAACTCCGCGAGCAATCTTGAACGTGTTTCCGGTTATCACAAAGGTAAACAATAGAGCTATTTATAGCCATCATTTATGAATTTTGCACTCCTTCATATTCCTTTTGCCGACAAGTTTTGTTGCGAATAACATAACTTTAAGTATTCTACTTTAACCCTAAAAGTGTTTTAGACACCAGGTAGGTTGCACTTTTGAGAATTTTTAGTTTGAATTTTGTACCTAATCATAAGTTGTTCGGCGAATGAAAATACCGACATCCTTGGATGGAGACTAGTAGGCTTAAAATAAGATGTACTTTCAAATTCTTTCAACATTCTAAAAGAAGAAGAATATGTCTCAATACGCTGAAAAAAGTTTTTAATTTGACGCGAAACTTCCCGAGTTATGATGCACAATTTAACACACATTTGACCGCCGTTTTCGGGGTCAAATTTCAGTGTCGCTGACGTCCAGACAAAAATTCGTCATAACTCAAAAAATAAGAAAAATTTAGAAATTATAATATTAGTTTAATACCTTTTAGGACAAAGGTAGTTCATGGTAAAAATATAAAGGAAATCTAATTTTCAACCTGAAACGCTCTGCATGGTTCTTAGTGAGACAGCCACTTAAAAGCGTAAATTTCCACAGCACAACACTGGTACATGTATACATATACATATACATATACATATACGTATACATATACATATACAACAGCAATCCTTTTATATAAAGAGACATTCCAACTACTGGAAGTAAAATTTAGGGAGACTGTTCAGTGAATTGAAATCTAGTTCTTCTGGGAAAAAATAATAAAAATTAAGTCTTCTGAAATGGCGTTTCCTGCATTTTGGGAAGATGTTGTTATATGTGATCCTATAAATTGCCATTAAGGAACTTCAAAAAAAGGTCAAGACAGACTATTATGTTCCTAAAAACAGTATGTTTATGATTTTTTTTACTATATTTCCTGAATATTCTGAAAAATCTGGAGAATTTTATAAAAATCAGGAGACGAGGAGATTGCATGAATTTTCGAGACTCCCGGTAAAATCGGGAGAGTTGGAATGTCTGTAGTCATATTTACATATTGGTGAAATATCAATGTCCATATATTAGGGATGTCCATGAACTTGTCCCTACGTACAGTAGTTTGAAGCTGAAATATTCATATCTTTTGTATAAGTTATCCCTGTACAAACCAGCTTTTAGTCATTATACAAGAGTTGAATTTGCATTCGTTTGCTTCGCAAGTCGAAACAAACTGAACAAAGTACTAAACCATAAACCTGTGCAATTATCGAGCGTCAGAGTGACATATCCAAGTCTTTTAAACGTCGCATACGAACAAATCTCACTGAGTTTTTTCTACAGAAAGTATTGATCCATTTGATCGATCGCCCTGCTTTGAGAAAAGCTTGAAATGCAAAATTCACGGGGAGGATTGAAGAATTTCGGAGATAAAAACTGTTGGTCTTTGAGTTTCACCTCTAGCATTCCCCCTCCCCCGGTTCAGAAAAGCAACGATTACGTAATGTTGGAGTCACATGACCAGCGTTTACCAGGGCTATGTCGCTGCCTTCAACTCGCGGTTACCCTGGGTACGATGTTGGGGAGGGGGGGGGGGTGAATGCCTCCCAAACGCGCGCCAGCCAGGGACATGGAATCAGCAGTTTGATGACGAATTACAGTCACGCCAAAATTATTGGAAATTAATAGGAAAAACCAAGAAGTCGGCTTTCTGTAATCTGTATAACCCATTCTGTGCCCTGGTTATGATGCGCTACCGCTTATAACTTTTGTTACAACTGGCCTGAAACTTAAAATATTGATTCAATAAGTTTAATATCGATATATGTATTGAAAAAAAGTTATTATTAATGTAAATAAGAAAACTTAAGATTCTCACGCCAATAGGCAATGTTTTTATGAGCGACTGTTCATCGTTATAGTTGCGAGCGACGGTAATATAAACAAGGTCAAGGTTTTTATCGAAAGCGATTGACTGTTAGATTTCCTTTTATACTATTTTATAACTAAATAATGTTTATATTTCCTACAAATTTAGCTTTATTGTAGCTTTGTTGAAAGTATAAAAAAAACATGGAAACAGTGAATTACTCGGCAGGTACAAAACGCAGGTTGCAGGTTGCAGGTTGGAATTTTGCAGGTTGGGAATTTTGCAGGTTGGAATTTTGCAGGTTGGGTATTTTGCAGGTTGGAATATTGCAGGTTGGGGATTTTGCAGGTTGGAATTTTGCAGGTTGCCAGGAACTTTGCAGGTTGATAATGCAAACTTAAAATTACACCACTTTTTTAGTATTCTAGTATAACTTAGTTGTGCATTTATTGCAGTCTGACTCCTTGTCGGCGCTTTTGATATCAACTAATCAGCCTACCCTGTTGCCATGTTCCTAGCCTCTGCTCTAAGGCTAGTGGCCATCATCACAGTAAAACATTCAAAATGACCAGATTGGCTTGAACCTACAGGGAAATGAATGTTTTGATTGTGGCGAGGTGCCTACATGACCTGGCGGCGTTTATACTAGAATATTGTTAAAAGTTAACTAACTCTCGACTAATGATACGGTAATTGGGGGCTTGAATGGACTTCTCATAAGTGGGTGCAGAAGAGAGACACCTCATTCAGGCATTTTCTGAACTGCCACCACGTCATGTAGGCTCCTCACAACAATCGAAACATCCGTCCCCCTGAAGGTCCAAGCCAATCTGGTCATTTTGAATGTTTTCACAAGGGTGATGGCCACTCCTTAGAGCAGAAGCTAGGAACATGGTAGCAGGATAGGCTGATATTAAAAGTGCCGACAAGGAGTCAGACTGCAATCAGTACACAATTAAATTATACTAGAATACTTTATAGTGGTGTAATTTTAAGTTTGCATCATCAACCTGCAAAATTCCTGGCGACCTGCAAAATTCCAACCTGCAAAATTCCCAACCTGCAAAATTCCCAACCTGCAAAATTCCAACCTGCAACCTGCAACCTGCGTTTTGTACCTGCCGGTGAATTACTACAGATTGAAAATAATTATTAAACTATATGATTGAAATTATCGACGTAGAATGCTATTTCGATAGATATTAAATTTCAATAGTATTAATGAGAATTTTGTTTGATATTTTTAATATATTTCATGTTATTTACAAAATGTACTGTAGTTTTGAAGTTTTGCACACAATATAATCAATGTGAGCACAATGACTCCGTTTCAATTTGAGCATATATAAAAAAATGAGTATTTTGATAGCGTAGCCTTCATGATATAGATATTAAACGCCTGATAAATAATCATTCATTGCGAGCGCAACTGTTCCAAAATCGCAACAAATAACAGAAGGTAATTAAAACCAGCAAAGCTTTACCTACCTTGATCAGTTTTTCTAAGGCGCTCAATTATGTAAATTTTCCGCGAACAATCAAACATTTTTCTTTGCCTTTCCTTGACTAAAGTAAAACGTGCATGAGTGATGAAAATGGTCCTCGGAAAACTCGGTATTTGTCGTATTTTACGAATATGCCACGTGACCGGTACGCTCACCACCGCTCACCGCGACACGAAATTTAGCGCTATATGAAATGTTGCATGTTGCATGCCATATATGGCATGCAACAAAAAACTAATGTTGATATCGAAAAATAAATACTGGCACTATCGATATTATACGATATTTTTGATACTCTTGAAAGTCACTAAATCTTGACTTTTGTCAAACTACACAACATCATAAGAAACCATTGTAGAAAAAAAGCGCTCACGCTCGAGCAGAAGTTGAAAAGTGTGCAACTGAATCACATACTCCATTGATTTTGATGCTTTTGGACGTGACGCAGATGAGCGACTTCCAGATCTAGAAAGACAAACTTTACAACGGAGTATGGAGAAGTTTTGGGATCCTTTGAAAGGCGAACGCGAACTACAATTAGATCGTGTATGGAGTGTTGATCGCCAACCTATTTCAGAAAGAAATATCCCCGGGGTGGACCATATTGGTCATTGGTCTCATCTGAATGGTATTGACTTCCCCGAGCTCGATAACAAAGAAGTCAGTATCTTGATGGAAGTGACGTTCCGGAAGTTCATTGGACATTGGAGGAAAGACGGGGAGGACCTAAAGAACCATTGGCAGTTCGTACCATACTTGGTTGAACGCTGTTTGGTCCTATGGGAAGTGGAACTAACACGGAAGAAAATGTTAATTTCGTACAGATCAATCATGGTGAAGAAATAACACATCAGTTAGAACGATTATATAACAGTGAGTTCAATGATTTACCTTTGAATGGAGATAAACCTATGTCGATCGAGGACTGTGGCGCTCTCACTATTATGGAAAAGTCTGTACGAGGCGATGGTCACTATCAAATATCTCTACCGTGGCGTTATAGTCCACCGTGTTTACCAGACAACAAATTATTGGCTGAGAAGAGACTCCAACAACTTCAAAGGCGATTAAAGTATGATGAACACCTGAAACAAAAATACCGGAATGTTATTGATGATTATGTCGTCAAAGGTCATGCCAGAAGAGTTCCTGAAGCTGAGATTGATTCGAGTGATAAACCCCTTCGGTAGAAGCCAGGAAAGCTCAGAGTCGTGTTTGACTGTTCGGCACGATATAAAGGAAAATCGCTCAAAGATCAGCCACTAAATGGACCAGATTTAACAAATTCACTTGTTGGGGTTCTACTTCGCTTCCGTCAGGAATCGATTGCTATGATGTCAGATGTTGAACAGATGTTTTATCAAGTCCTCGTAGATCCAAAAGACCAGGATGCCTTCAGATTCTTGTGGTGGCCAAAAGGTGATCTGAAAGCGAAAGCAGAAGAATTCCAAATGCTGGTGCATTTGTTCGGTGCCACCTCATCGCCAAGCTGTGCAAATTTTGCATTAAGGAAAACAGCCGAAAACAATCGAAAGAATTTTGACTTATCAGTTATCGAGACAGTAAATCGTAATTTTTACGTCGATGATTGTCTATAATCAGTAGCGACGATTGAAAGAGCACTTCACTTGGTAAAAGAATTACCACGGTTTCTGGAACGAGGGGGATTTAATCTTACGAAGTGGGTGTCGAATCGTCGAGAAGTTACTACCGCCATACCAGTAGAGAAAAGAGTTTCTGTGGTCGATTTAGATTTGGAGAAATCGCGGATAGATCGAGCCTGGGGAGTTCACTGGGACATAGATAACGATACGTTTGGCTATAAAGTTGGAAAACGTGAGGCTGTTGATACGTGAAGGAAGATTTTGTCATTAGTGTCATCAATATACGATCCTTTGGGTATTTCTTCGCCATTGTTGTTACCAGCCAAGAAGATCTTACAAGACCTGATAATCTACCTGGTCTTGAGCAACTTGCTATTCCACGTTGTTTGAAACCCGAAACCTTGGGTAGACTTTCTTCCATCCAGTTACATTATTTTGCTGATGCTTCGGAGATCGGATATGGGGTAGTTTCGTATCTTCGTTTGGTCGTCGTGTCGAGATCCATACATTGCGTCCTCCTGATGGGAAAGTCACGTGCTACACCGCTAAAACTACTTACTATCCCAAGATTGGAACTTTCTGCAGCACAGTCGCAGTTAAGGTGGCTCCCTACAGTTTTAGGTCTGTATCGCCGAAATTTTGTGTGTCTATCGCGGAGATTAGTAGTGCTACACGCAACACGCATGGTCGACGTTGCACGTGTGGCGGGCTTTTTAAAATTGCGTCGTGATATACACGCGCGAGCCTTCGTGGGATTGTCGGCTGGTCGCGCGAGGAAATTGAAATCCTGATTTTTGTGACGTCACATAGATAAAAATAAATGTATTTTTCTCGTGTTTCCTTCGGTAAAATTTTTTAAAACTTCACACACTTTCCTGTAATCTTGAAGTGCGTAAAAATTGTGCAAGTTTTAAGAAAATCGTACGAGCAGAATTTTTTTTATTCCAAAAATAGGGCTTTTTGAGGATTAAAAAAAATTTTCGTACAATTTTTTTTAAATGCTATCATTTGAAGTTATTATAGATAAGATTACTGTGTGCAAAAAATTGAAAGGTTTTACCGAAGAAATTTTCAAAAAAATTATCAAAGAATCTGCAACTTGGCCCGTTTTGTATCTGCGAATGCAGATATATTGCTATCGTGCGCGTACCGGAAGTTTGTAAGCGTGCTCATAGCCAATCAGCGACAGCGTATTGTTATATCTGTGTATTTATATTGTGTTATATATATGTGTGCGCAGTAATCCGTGAACAGAATATATTAAATATCAGTGAACAAAAGCATGCAAATAAGTGTGACTGTGGCTGTCGAGCGGCAAGTTTGTTAACTTGCTCGCCGTAATTTTAAACTAGAATGTATTTTCTACGACAGCATCAATCTTAAATAACCTTAAACTACTAGAAAATACATACATGCAAAAACCCTCGCCTTGCTGACGAAACCATTGTATTTTCCGAACATGAAGTATCTAAAGTTGTTTTCATGGTAACACGATAATTTTTGAAGAATATTCTTACAAATGAAAAATCGCCTAAAAATATCACTTTTAATTACAAAATTATCAATTTCCCAACATATTTATGTTAGGTATGTTATTATACGTAATATAAGCCTCAATTAAAGGTAAAATTCAACTACAAACGCTTCGCAAAACGTTTTAAGTGTTCTTTATAAAACTAAACTGCCTTTAATTAAATGGCTTTATCGATAAACCTTGAGTTTGCAATAAAATGATTTCAAATTCTCGCTTGCAAATAACTTTGCTTTCTTTTTTATTTAAAAAATTCAATATAATAAAAAAGGGAATCAATATTTATAAAGATACACTGAAATTATATGCTGTCTTGTTTTAATAATTGTTTCATATACGCAAAAGCCGTCGGGTTTTATTAATTAAAGCCATTATAAATTAAATCAATATTTAAAACAAACTTACCTTCGTTGACGTCGGCTCCCTTCTTTTAGCCGATTTCGCCCTTTCTTTCTTGAAATTTACAAAATCTTGCACAAATGCGAGCAAAAATGAAATATATTTGCAAGAAATTTATCAATCATCAAATCAAGAAATGTTTGCTATTTCGCTGTCGTCATGCAGTCGTTATAATGCAAATTTAAGTTGGACCAATCAGTGTCCGCTATTCATTACAGTCCGCCATATTTTTGAGATCAGTGAGGATGACCACCCATCGTTGGTCACCCACGCCCGCGATAATTGATGAACTTTAGACTTCCCTAATGCTTTCGTTTCCCCGGGTGTAAATAGCCGGGGGGAATTAGTACCCTCGCACGGCGCTTCGCGCCGTCGGCTCGGGGATAAAGTTTTAAATTTATCTCGGGTATAATTAATTTAGCTTATAAAGAACTTGGTACGTAACATTTTGGCGACCCCGCCAGGACTACAAAGATGAACACTCGGTCTACGAGGAGAGATTTTTCAGACGATGAAGAACCCGACCTGAATGAGCGTAAACAAACCGGCAGCATTTTAGACGAGTTGATTGAGCAGCGACTGCGAGCAGTTATCGAGCAAAACGACGTACATATGTAACAGGCAGAGAGATTCAATCAAATCATAAGTCAGTATGAGGAAAGAATCGGGAAAGTCGAGGAAAAACAAGAGAATCTCGTCACAAGTGTAGGGAAAGTAATCGGCGGTATTGCTGCTCTGGTTGAAAGAATAGAGACAATCGAAATGCGGGATAAAGCGTGGGATTTTAACGAGAGCAAAATCCAGGCAGTTAGTGCGGAACTAACGACTCGCGTTCAAGCACTATTCACGAACGAATTAAAGTCGGCTATCCACACATCATGCTCCGTCTCACTATTACCCACGGTTATATTCAACTTACCGCGTCCTCGTACAGGTGCAGTTTCTCCAGTAACTGTCCTTAAAACTGTCTCTGTTGGTAGAATCTTACCACTTCTTAACTCAATCACGTCCGGACGAACAATTGTGATGTTTGAACCAGTGTCCATTACACACTTACACCACCGTCCTTCTATCTTAGCATCCACCAGCAAGGTATCTCCAACAGAGGAAGTTTTAACCACAAACTCAGGAGCATTTTCATTGTTCTTTTTAGCTGCCCTTCGCTCCTTAAGAGCAGCTAAACGGCGTTTCCCAAATTTCCTTTGGAAGCCTCGCCCGTTCTCGTTTCTTTACGGGCAAGCGTCGGAACCTCGTCTCTAGCGGATTCGTCGTTTGTATTTTTAAAGTCACGTGCCGGACTACGTTTCGGGCACTCGTGGCGGAAATGACCTTCTTCTCCACATTTCCAACATTTTTAGGTCACGTGGCTCTTTATTTCGAGGTGATTTCTGACTTACGTTTCTACGATCTCTCATCAGAACTTCCAATTTTTTCGTCGATTGCGCAATTTGATTACTGGCGGCTTCCATTCTTGGCGATATCGAGTGTAGTCGTAGTTGTACTCCGTGGTGTGAACTCACTTTGTACTTTTGTCTCACGTGAAACACGCATCCTTTGTTGACGATTGGCAAGGTGGAAAGATTCTAACTCGAGAGCCAATTTGGCTCCAACGCTCTTTGCAAGGTTTGCGCTCTTTCTTGACAGAGACGCAGGCGCATATCGTCGTCAGGTAAGGAATCGACAAACTGATCACGAGCTAGTGTCAATTATTGTTGGAGGAGCATCCGCATAAGCCAACCGAGCAAGCCTTTCTATATCCTCGGCCAACGCAGGTAACCCTTCATCACGTTGTCGGACTCGATTTTTGAACTTTACTTTAGAAATCCCTGTACGGTGTGACGTGCCAAATCGACTAGCCAGAGCAGTTACTAAAGCTCGATAATCTTGTCTACGGTCATTGGATAAATTGGCCAACACTTGCAATGCCGTTCCCTTGAGACTGGTTGCCAAGAAGGATGCCTTTTCCATATCGTCCCATCCGTTCATTTCTGCTATTATGCAAAATTGGGCATAGTAAGCCTCCCATGAAGTTTGCCCATCATATAAATTGGGTTTACGAACTAGGTTGCCAACCCTTGATGTTGAAGCGGGATCTCTAGCACTCATACTTTGCGCTAACGGGTGATGCGTCCAATCTTCGTCACTTTTATACATCGGCGTAGCCATTGGGGTTGAAATTCTTGGTTCTTTCGGGGTTGGTCGATTTGTCTTGATTTCAGTGTGCTCTGTCATAGACGTCAGAGATGCCTTTAGACTCAACATTTCGTTTTCCAGGCGTTTAATTTTTTTCGAAAGTTCTTGGTTTTGATACTCCAATTCTCCAACATATCTCCTGACACTTGTACCATAGTTGAACAGGGAATTATCGGATTGGATTATCTAATGGCTAACAATTGTCAGGTGAATCTTGCAGGGAAGTTGCTGTTGGTAGGAGATGACGAAGTTCCTTTGGTCGGTCAAGTGCGACCGGTGGTGAATGGATTGACTCGAATTGTTGTTCGAAGAACAGTTGCTGTACCAGCGATGAGTGAAGCAATTATCCCTGGAAAGCTGAAGAAGTGCGGTGAACAACGCACTTGGGCAGTTCTAGAATCCGTGGCAAACTCGAAACGTAACCTACTAGTGGCTAGAACACTGGTTGACCTGTCTGCAGATGATTTACCGATAAGAGTTATGAATTTAACGAATGGTTATATTTCATTGAAGAAGGGGACAGAAATAGCAACGTGTGAACCTGTTGCGTGTGTTAGAAATTTGGAACATCAACCTTCCAAAGAAGAAGATTCGGCAACAATCCATAAAGACAAAGGAGGATTTGTACATCTTGTGGATTTGTACCGTCGAAGAAAGACTTTTATTGGAGAAGGACACAAAACTCAATTGATTGAATTGCTTAAAGAATTTCAGGATATGTTTTCAAGTGGATCAAATTATTTAGGTAGCACAAGCATAACAACGCATAAGATTGATGTTGGAGAAGCAATTCCAGTCAAACAACGACCAAGGAGACTTCCAATAAAGCAGAGGGAGGAATCAAACAAGTTAATTGAAGAAATGCGAAGCCAAGGCGTGATAGAGCGTTCACAAAGTCCCTGGACCTCTCCTATAGTTCTAGTTAAGAAGAAAGATGGGAGTAAAGGATTCTGCGTGGATTATAGAAGGTTAAATAAGGTAACCAAACGTGATTCATATCCTCTCCCGCGTGTAGACACAACTCTTGATGCTATCAATGGTTCGAGGTGGTTCTCAACATTAGACTTGAAGAGTGGGTATTGGCAGGTGAGAATGGAGGAGAGCGACAAAGAGAAGACCGCATTCACAGCTGGTGAAGGTTTGTGGCAGTTCATTGTTATGCCTTTTGGCCTTTCGAATACCCCGGCAACGTTTGAGCGACTTATGGAGCGTGTACTTCAAGAATTGCTGTGGACGGTGTGCCTAATATATTTGGATGATGTCATCGTGCATGCAAGAACATTAGCTATTCAATTTTCTAATCTTCGAACTGTTTTTCAAAGGTTACGAGAAGCAGGATTAAAGTTGAATCCGAAAAAGTGTCATCTTTTCCAAAGAACCGTCCGTTATCTTGGACATATCGTGAGTGGTTCGGGTATCGCAGTTGACGCAGGAAAAACTGATACGGTCTCTAAGTGGCCAGAACCAAAGAACAAGACATAAGTTAGAAGTTTTCTCGGATTGTGTACGTATTATCGAAGATTCGTTCCTCACTTCGCAGACGTTGCCCGACCTCTACATCGACTAACCGAAGAGAATTGTGAGTTTGCGTGGACGGAGGAATGTCAGAGATCGATCGAGAAATTGAAACAATTGTTAACATCAACTCCGATTTTGGCTTATCCTAATTTAGACGGCGAGTTCTGTCTGGACACGGATGCATCGGATTCTGCAATTGGTGCTGTTTTATCACAGAAACGAGAAGATAGAAGAGAGGGTCATCGCTTATTTTAGTCGAACTTTGACCAGATCGGAGAGGAATTATTGCGTGACAAGAAAAGAACTGTTGGCGGTGGTCAAGGCAATTGAACACTTCAACTATTATCTTCATGGGCTGAAATTCCGAGTGCGAACAGATCATTCGCCATTGCAGTGGTTGATGAATTTTATGGAACCGCAAGGCCAAGTGGCTCGATGGATAGAGAAACTCCAAACTTATGATTTTATCGTTGAACATCGATCTGGGTCTGCCCACAGAATGCTGATGCTTTGTCCAGACGTCCCTGCTTTGAGGAAGACTGCAAGCAATGTACGTTATGAAGAGAGATTTCAGCTAAAAACAGTTAGCAGAGTGACAAGACCTGTTATCAAAGAATCCGAAACAAATCGGGGATCAGTAGAGAAAGATAGCGAAACACTTCCGGTTGACGTGGATAAGTGGAAGGAGAAACAAGGTGAAGATGGTAACATGAAGTCGTTAATCGAGGCGTTGAAAGATGGGAAAAAAAGGCCGCGGTGGGCAGTTGTTACGCCTTTCGGGAAGAAACGAAGACACTGTGCACAATGGGACAGTCTTCGTTTGGTCGATGGAATTATGTATCGGGTTTGGGAACATCCAAGGGCTAGTGACGAGACCTTGCAAATTGTGGTACCTAAAGCTCTACGAAAACAGATATTTGACTTGCTGCATGATTCGAAAACGGGAGGACATTTTGGCATCAATAAAACAATCGGAAAGATAAAAGCAAAATTTTATTGGCCGAAGTTACGAGATGATGTTAAAAAGTGGTGCGCTCAGTGTGATTTATGTTCTGCGAGAAAGGGTCCGTCGAGGAAGATAAAGGCGCCATTAGCTTCCTACGTGGTGGGATCGCCAATGGAACGAGTGGCTGTAGACGTCTGGGACCGTTACCAGTTTCGGAGAATGGCAACAAGTATATTTTTATCGCTATGGATTACTTTACAAAATGGCCGGAAGCATATGCACTTCCCAACCAGAAGCAGAAACAGTAGCGAAAGTATTGGTGGATCAATTCGTTTCTCGTTTTGGGACGTCTGTTGAATTACACTCAGACCAGGGGAGGAACTTTGAGTCTCGGGTATTTTCTGAAATGTGTAAATTGCTTGGAATAAAGAAAACTAGAACTACGCCTCTACACCCCCAGTCCGACGGAATGGTGGAACGGTTTAATCGAACTATAGAACATCAGTTGGCAATTTTTGTAAACGAGAATCAGAAAGATTGGGATGAACATATACCTCTGTTCCTGATGGCTTATCGGAGAGCTACCCACGAGTCAACGGGACTCACACCAGCACAGGTGATGATGGGACGAGAATTAAGAGTCCCTTTGGATTTGCTGATGGAGATTCCTTCTAAGAAGAATTACGTGAAAAAGTTGTCTTACGTGGAAAAGTTGGAGGAGAGTATGGATATTGCACAATGTTTTGCACGGAAACGGTTGAGGATCACGACAGATCGGATGAAAACAAGGTACAATATTAATGCTACGGCGGTAACACTGAGCGTTGGAACCCCTGTATGGCTGTACAGACCACAGCGAAAGAAAGGACTATCTCCTAAACTATCCAAGCCTTGGGTCGGTGCGTATGTTATTCTGAAACGAATTAACGATTTGGTATTATAGGATTCAACTTTCGAGTGGCAGTAAACCAATGGTGGTGCATCGTAACCGTCTAAGAGAGTACGTTGGTGAGAATGTGCCCCAAGTTTTGTCAAGGGAAGAGGTAGTCGAAGTCAGGGTTGAAAGGGAACAGACGGCGCTGAGAAGAAGTACCAGAGAACGAAGAACACCAGTACGGTTGGAAATTTAGAGAAAAGGGAGTTTGGAACAATAACTTTCTTCAAGATAAACGTAACTGTATGACTGTGTCTGTGAGAGTAAAGTCCACCCGGGACGGGTTGGGACTTAAGAGGGGGAGTGTGTTATATGTGTGTATTTATATTGTGTTATATGTATGTATGTGCAGTAAACCGTGAACAGAATATATTAAATATCAGTGAACAAAAGCATGCAAATAAGTGTGACTGTGGCTGTCGAGGGCAAGGTTGTTAACTTGCTCGCCGTAATTTTAAATAAAGTTTTGGGTTTATCTCGGGTATAATTAATTTAGCTATATTTTATATATTTGATATTTGATGTTTATTGAAACTCTCTTGCAGTATATTTACACTGAATTAACGCGTCCAAAGTATTACTAAAACTATATTTACATAAATACATACAACTGTTAAAACTATGTATAAACATTAAAAATATTTAAAAGTAAAAAATTGTTCAGATCTTAAAGTTCTGCATTTAGTTGTGTTCTTAAATAAAATAGTATTGTCTTGCCCATTTCGTAGGCTATACCTGCATTCGCTCATCTTGTGTTTTGGCAGCATAAAATGTAGGGGATGATCCTCCTTCTTCATTTTAGTCATATATTTTTTACTTAACAGTTCGCGTCTGCTCTCCAATGTTGGTATCTGTGCCATCATCATCGCCTCGTTATAATTGTCTATGGAAGGGAAGATGATTCGAAGTGCCCTTGTCTGTATTGATTCTATCCTTTCACTTAAATAGTCAGGAATCGCTTGCCATATTGGAACAGCATATTCCAATACGGGTCTGATAGTAGTTAGATACACTTTTAGTATATTCCTTTGCTCAACGCCAGCTCTACGAAGTACGCGGAGGGAATTTTTGTAGATATAATCAACATGTTTATTCCACTTGAGATCCTCACTCAATTGAACTCCAAGTAATTTATAATTGGTTACCCTTTCTACTACGTTACTGCCTATTACAAAAGGCCTCATTATGGAGTTATTATTATTCATAAAATTAATTACCATCTCCTTGCATTTAAGTGGGTTGAGACTCGTGTTATGATTTACCGAGAATTGATGTAATTCATCTACCGTATGGTTCAGATAACTAATTGAGTTCCTGGGAATAATCTCTAGCGCAGCTGTGTCATCGACAAACTTTGTCCTTAAATGCCAGTCAGATATTAGCTTATTTGTCATAACCGAGAAAAGAATAACACCAAGTTTAGTTCCCTGAGGTATACCACCATTTGGGGATTTCCAGTCTGACAAAGTCCCCCCCTATTCTGACAGCGTGTTTTCTATTAGAAAGAAAAGCGTTAATCCAATTATATAAAACAGGATGAATATCCAATTCCATCAGCTCCTTCATGAGAATATGGTGGTCAATACGGTTTGAACGCTTTGCTAAAGTCGGCAAAAAAGAAACGAGCACAAGCATTTCCACTATCGAGGGCCTCGTAGACGGGTTGAAGCAAAAATAGTAGTGCATCCGTAGTGGAGTGACCCTTTCGTGTCAGCTGTGATAGAAGTCTCCTACAGAAAAATCCCTCCATAATTTTAGCCAAATTGCATGTTAGGGATATTGGACGTGTAAGGATATGACGTGACTCATGCATGCGAGCACATGGGACGTCGAAGGAACGTTGGACAAGGACTGAGTATAGTTGAGTTATCAAGTAAAGTTAAATGTAGTTTATACGGCATAAGATAAATAAAATATATAACGTTACATGGTGTCAGAAAAGGGATTTTAATCAAAGATACAAGAACACGAAATGGCAGAACAAATCCCAGCCCCAAAACCGTTGAAACTCGATGGAAATGCAGCTGAAAATTGGCGGCGTTGGAAGAAAGCCTTCGAGCTATACATGACCGCTACTGAGAAAGACAAAAAGTCGCAGAAAATACAGTGTGCAACGTTTTTGACCTTGGCTGGCGAAGCAGCGATTACAGTTTACGAAACACTCACGTTTGAAGATACAGAAAAAGATAAAATCGAGCCGTTAGTAGCGAAATTTGAAGCGTATTGTCTTCCAAAAAAAATGTCACGCACGAAAGGCATGTGTTTAACTTGAGGAAACAAAAGCCTGACGAATCGGTAGAGCAGTTTGTGACGGAACTGAAACGATTAGCAAAGAACTGTGAGTATGGAGAACTTACAAACTCGATCGTTAAAGACAGGATTGTCGAAGGAATCAGCAATGACAGAACTCGAGCACGGCTTCTTCGAGAAAAAGATTTATCGCTAGAAAGGTGTATGGACGTGTGCAAAGCAGCAGAAGTTGCCGACAAGCATATGAAAACCTTAACAGATAAGTCACGTAAATCGGAAGAAATTGATGCAGTTTATAGTCGAGGAAGGAATTATCGAAGAGAAACGCATTCAGGATTAACGGGCAACGGCGGTAAAGATCAAAAATTTTATAACAACAGATTAAATTGCAGCAGATGTGGTCAGGGAAACCATAGTTATGATAAATGCCCAGCTGTGGGAAAAGAATGTAGAAATTGTCACAAGAAAAATCATTTTATGAGTCAATGTAGAACCCGAGACAAAGAATTGCCAAAATATCCAAGAAAACATCGAGTCGATGCGGTAGAGAACAACGGTAAACAAGAGAGGGACGCTGAACCAAGTAGTGAGTCTAGTGACGAACATGAATTCTATGTTTATTCGACGGAAACGACCGCTGACAAGTCAGATCCATGGATACTTCCATTGGAAGTAAACAACAGTATAGTTACTTTTAAAGTAGACACTGGCTCGGATGTCAATGTAATGAGTTATAACGAGTTTAAGACACTTCAGAACAGACCGAAGTTGAAACAATCGAAGACTAAACTGAAAGCATACAACGGGGGAGATGTTCAAGTGCAAGGTCAGTGTATTTTATCCTTAAAGTTGAAAGAGAAATCGGTGAAAGCGCTGTTTTTAATCAGCCCTGATGATGTTAAACCTATTTTGGGAAGGGAACTTTCTGAAAAGTTAAATCTTGTGAAAAGAACATTTTCTATTGAGCAGTCGAACAGTTCGAATAATTTAACGGGCAGCAGGTATAACAATGCAAAACTAAGTGAGAAATATGCTGACTGTTTCGAAGGACTAGGCTGTTTACCTCATACTGTAAAAATCGAGTTAAGAGATGATGCAACACCAGTTGTTGAGCCTTGTCGCAAAATACCCTTCGCGCCGTATGATAAGCTCAAAGACGAACTACAACAAATGGAAGCTATGGGCGTGATTGAAAAGATCGAAGAACCGACTGAGTGGGTTAACTCATTTGTGCCAGTTACTAAGCCAAATGGAAACTTACGTGTTTGCTTAGACCCAAGAAACTTGAACAAATCAATAAAACGTGAACATTTCAAGTTACCTACACGAGACGAAGTTACAGCTCAATTTGCAAATGCCAAGGTATTTACTAAACTAGATGCCTCAAATGGGTTTTGGCAAATGAAGCTTGAAGACGAAAGTACTAATTTATGTACTTTCAATACCCCTTTTGGGAGATACAAATACTTACGACTCCCATTTGGAATCTCCAGTGCCCCAGAGATTTATCATAGAACCATTAACTCTTTGTTTAGTCACTTAGAAGGCGTAGATACTTCTATGGATGACATCATCATTTATGGATCAACCCCACAAGAACATGATCAAAGGTTGGAAGCAACAATGAAAGTTGTGAAAGAAGTTGGACTGAAACTTCAAAAAGCAAAATGCGAAGTGGGTGTACAACAGTTGACTTACCTGGGGGACACAATTTCGGCTGAGGGATTGAAACCTGATCAGAGAAAAGTTGAGGCAATCCAGAACATGGAAAGACCTGGAAACAAAACAGACCTCCAGAGATTCCTAGGTATGATTAATTATCTTGCTAGATACATACCAGATTTATCCACTAGAACAATGCCATTAAGAAAGTTGTTAGACCAGAAGGTGTTGTGGATGTGGGACAATGAGCAAGAGAAAGCATGGAAAGAATTGAAGGAACTTGTTTCAAGCGAACCTGTGTTAAAGTTCTACGATCCAAACAAGCCCATAAAGATTTCAACCGATGCAAGTAGGAGTGGCTTAGGAGCAGTACTGCAGCAGCTACATGGTGAAAATTGGCTTCCAGTAGCATATG